AAAAAAAAAAAAAAAAACTAACTAACTAACTAATTTGTAAAGCCTTTCTCTTGCCTCTTCTTGGGCTTCAAAAGTATTGTATTTGAATTTTATCTATCTTTTTTGGGGGTATATTCATTCAAACATCATTTGAAATAAAGAAATTACATTTTTGTTTGCTCCATGGGGCCACATGGGGGTGGCTCATCCCCCAACCTATGTGCAAGTGGTATTTTATCCCAAGTCTCTTTACTATAACTAGCAGGAGATCTTAACAACCAGCTAGTTGGCACTTTGTAAATGGAGTTATCACATCCAAAACTTATTTGATAAGGATATCTCTTTCATCTTTAAGAGGGTTTTCAATTTCCAACCCTAATTTTTCTTCTTAATTTTAGTTGTGATGCTCTTTGGAACTTTCTTATCAATTATGTCTTGGATAATTGGAGCACCTCTTATTGAGAGAGAGAGAGAGAGAGAGAATAATTGGAACACCCAAGTATTTTTCATTGTTTGTTGATATTGGGATGCTCATAATCTTAGAAATCAATTTTCAAAGCTTATTTGACAATTTTTTTTGAGAAAAAAATGACATTTTGAAATGGATACTTTGGAAGAGTCCCTCTAAACATATTGAGGCAGAAACTAATTATAAACCAACCAATGAAAAATACAATCCTATTTCTGAATTGAACCTTATTTCTGATCTGCTCAAAATCCGAGTTGAGGTGGGTATTGACCCCTCTAGGAGGGATAGTAGGATTTGGGTCCCTTCTCCTTCAGGTGTCTTCTTGTGCTCTTCCTTTTTCAAAGAATTGGTTCATTCCCCACCTGTTTTTGGACCCCCCTTTCCAGTTTTGGAAGTTTGGGGTAGGCCAATCCCTCCCAAAATTAGTGTTTTTTGCTGGGAAGCCTTCTTAGAAAAGTGTAATACTTGCGATCTATTTCAAAGAAAAAGGCTTAATTGGTGTTTATCCCCGCACTAGTGCATCCTTTGTAAGGAAAATGGTGAGACCTACCATCACTCACTGATAACTTGCCCATTTATTTCAGAGATCTAGTGTTGGTTTTTCTCTCTTTTTGGTTCTAGGTGGACCCCTCCCTCAAATGTACAAAGCTTGTTCCATTCTACTTCAGTTAGGGGGTTGAAGAAGAGAGGGAAAATTCTATAGAGATGTGTAAGAGCAGCTATCTGTTGGACAGTTTGGGAGAAAATGAACCGAAGGACCTTTTGTGGGAAAGAAAGAAATAAGGGTGCCATCATTGAACTATAAGGGTGGCTCATTGGGCTAAGACTATGAAGCTCTTCGAAAATTATTTAGAAGGAGACATAATCAGGAAGTGGAAAGAAGTGGTTTGGTCAGCTCCAATGAAGTCTTCATCTAACACAATTTGGTATCCTCCAGCTTTCGGGTTCACTAAACTGAAATTCGATAGTAGCAGCGAAGGAAATCCAGGCCTGTCAGGTATAGGGGGAGTTTTCAGGGATGAAGAAGGTCTAATTTTTGCCATGTATTTTGATTCTATTGGATGGGAGGATTCTCTAAGAGCTGAAATATTGGTTGTTCTAGAAGCGGTAAAAAGAGCCCAATAATTGAATATCAAAAAACTAATGGTGGAAGGTGATTCTAATCTGGCTATCAATTGGCTGTAGAAGGACGGTTTCAGTTTGTGGAAATTTCTGAATGAGAAAAAGAAAGTTAGACAGTTCACTCAAAACATGGAAGTCAAGTTTCATTGGACTAAGAGGAGTGCCAATTCCTTGGCAGATTCATTGGCCAAACAAGGGGTGGGAAGAGTCAACTTTTGATGGGCAATATTGTAAACTAAAATGTACCTTTTGGGAGGGTTAAGAGATTTTACCCCTCCTCTTGTATATTTTTCTCTTAATATCTTTTAATAAAAGTTTCTGTTGTTTATCAAAAAATATGAAAAATACAACCCAAAAAAACATAATCAGATATGTGGAGCCACACTCAAAATTCAAATTTTAAAATCATTAAATTGTGACAATTAGATCTACTTTTAAAGATGACCAATTACCAATAATTTTATTCAATATTCCATACTATTAAAAGAGAAAAATATATTCACTCCATGAAAATTCAGTTATTTAAGTTATATGTATTCGTAAATGCCCATTCAAACACGTTGTGACTTATCAATATTCTGAAATCATTTAAAACCAAGTTTTTAGGCGTTTTGAGGCGAAAGCCTCGAGCAAAATACACCCCAATGCGCCAAAAAGGGTGTATTGAATATTGACACTTTGAACCATTCACATCTTTTCTATTTCTTTTTTCAAAATTTTGCATTAAAATCGTGGTTAGATTTATGTTATTTAATTATTAAAAAGTTTTTTTAAATACCTTAAAAATGGGTATCAGTACCCCCTAGATACAATGGCATATTGTATCAACACTAAACCTTGCATGGTTAGAATCTTTACATAGTAGTTTTTTTCCCTAAAATCTAAAAGCTAGAACAAAACAATATAGTCAAAACTTTAAGCTTAGGGATATGAACTAATAGTGTTTTAAGAATAAAGCATTATCGTTTCGTTTCTTGCACTTGTATGCATTAGTGAAGAATGACCACCTATGTGATGCAAAATAGATCATCAAATATGGGGCAAGTGGGCAAGTGGGTAAGAATAAAGCATGGAAAATATGGAATATGAACTAAAGAAAGCTATTTTTGTATACATTTATATGCATTTATTAATTATTTGTATGTTTATGTATTTGTTCAAAATGCCAATTTATACAAAACAAATCATTTTTCTTAAATTTATATTTTACCCCTATTTAAACCTTCATGTTTAACATTAGCATGCCAAACAGTTGAGGCCTAAGCCTTGAACGTTTTGAGGCCAAAGGCCCAAAGGCGTAAGCCTCAAACAACTTAAGGCTGGGTTCTGAAGCTATCGAGGCCAAGCCTTTTTTCTTAACCTCACTTCAAGGCTTAGGCCTTTGGCCTCGCCTTAATAGCCTTTTAAGACAATGTTTAAAACAATCAACTAAATATTAAATTTATGTTTAAATTCAAAAGAGGCAAATTTTATCTAACTAAAATTCTATAAGTTTTTTACCAAAAGAAATATAAATTTGTAGTGATTATTCATGCTTTTTAAAGTAGTCAAGATTTTTTACTTATCAAATATTTTGAATTTATTTAAAACAATCAACAAAATATCAAATTTGTCCTCAAATTCAAATCTAAAAGGACCCAATTTTGTCCAACTAAGATGTATAAATGTATAGATATAGATATTTTTTTGCTAGATTTATAGATATAGATATGGATAAAAATTGATGAAACCAATCAAACCATACCCCTGCCTTTAAAAATAATCAAATCATCCCCCTTCCCTCTCTCCCTTGCCTTTTTGTTAGTGGGACGTTAATTTTTAACGGATCCGGCCACTTGTCATATAGAGCTTTAACAGTGGGCAGGAATTCCTGCCCACACCAACCTCACAGCTAGAAGATCACGTACTTTGGGAAAATTCCCGCTTAGTGCCCTATACTTTGGGCCTAGTGCCACTTTGGTCCCCAAACTTTAAAACGTGACAATTCAGTACCCGAACTTTCAAAATGTGTCAATCCAATACCTATCATTAACCAATCTGTTAATCAGTCGTTAAGTGACATTTGAAAAGACACAAATGCCCTTTGAGTGTAATCTAATTTTCTTTATCAACCATCCACTTGATAAAAATGAACAATCTTAAATCCTTGCCTCTTCTATTCAAGGATGGTTGATAAAGAGAATTAGATGGCACTCAAAGGGTATTTGTGTCTTTTCAAATGGCACTTAACGGTTGGTTAATAGCAGGTACTAGATTGACATGTTTTGAAGGTTTGGGTACTAAATTGTCATGTTTTAAAGTTTGGGGACCAAAATGTGAAGGGATGAGAGATCCATCATATGGATAGCCGAACCTTGCAAGTAGGTAGGGTGAAATTTCAAAAAATTTCTCTCTCTCCCATCTGGGAATCACATTCCCTATTTTAGAAAATTTACATTTTCAATGATCAATCTTGAACCAAGAATCGAACAAGATCTGAAACCAAAAGGTAGGAGAGGGATATACCTGATACGGAGTAGTAGTAACTCCCAACGAAGGTATTCAAACCCAAGGAAAACTCCAAAGACTGCTCCCACTGAAGATGATACAGCGTAGGGTGGAGCAGAATCAGTAGGTTCTTCACAAGAACCGAATCCTTCAACAAGAATTCGATGGATGGAGTGTGAGCACGGCTCCAGATCAGCCTTTCTCTAAAACTGATATTAAGAACACTTCTTAATCGCTCCTACGGTGGAGATCGAACTGGCAATGGCGGCAGTAGGAGGAGGGCGCAAGAGCAAAAGATGGAACAGTCTTACTGTAGCTGTCTTCTCTCTTTCTGTGATCTAAGACCAGTTGTAATGAGATGAATGGAGGTTCGCCCTCCTCCTCCTTTTATAGCCTTAAAGAGAACTCCTAATCTCTTTAGGAGTTTCCTAATCCAAATCTGTATTTGGATCAGGAGTTCTCTTTAAGAGATAAGGATAAGCCCTTATCTTATCTGYAGATTAGATYAGCCCTCCTAATCTTATTAGGAGTTTCCAAATCCAAATCTGTATTTGGATCTAGACTCTCTAAGTGGATAGGGATAACTCTCTATCCTATCTGCTGATCCCAATCCCAGATCCGCCCCTCTCTTTAACTAATCAAATTAGACCAGTTCAAATTGGGCTTTAGGCCCATTAAGTCCATGTGCTCACTTAGCTTCCAATCTACTGCCTAGTTGGGTTTCCTTGTATAGCGTGGGACCCAAAAATTGATATACACATCAGCCACATGGGTTCAGCCTAGCCTCTGTTACAAGGCCTGGCCGTATTCACTGTTATGGGCAATGAACCCCTGAGCCCATCACCATGGGCTCTTAATGGGCCCAACACTTACACTAAGTGGTCCCTGGGCCAAGCCACCTTATAAAAACCCAGGGACTGTGGGCAGATGCAAGATTAGCCTATCAGGTATTACCCTCAATGGTCTTACACTTAACCTCTCTGCCCATAATGATCAAACACTGCCCGACAAGAGAGGACCTCTCCCTTGGCTKCAAGGAAYAGTGTTGCACTCTCTACTCACATGGATCCCGGGAATTAAAACATTTTGCAAACATTTTGAAACCATAATATATATATATATATGTATATATTTATATAAATATATTTTTCAAAAATTCAACGATTGAAATCGGTTGCCGACAACTTTGGTTTCCATCAGAGAGAGTGCACCCCCAATCATTACCTTTGTCTGACAAAGGGATTGTTCCTGTCACTATGATCACCCACTCAGATGAATTCTCGGACTGTCCCAACATACTCAGGTTTTGACCCCCTCTGAGGATCTCACTGATTGGCATATCAAATACAGCCCAATCCGACACCTAGTGCAATATCATAATCAAGTTTAGGAGTCAGGTGTAACATTCCAGTTTTGCCCATCAATCTCCAAGGTGTAGGGCAATATTGGAATTCTGGTCCGGTTCAGGTTTTCAAGAAAACCCACACTGCATGTACCTCAGGTCTTACCCTGGCAGCTGAGACAAGCCACCCCAACCAACTTGGCGGTACATCAGTGTCAGCCTTGGTCAGATAAATCTCCCCAGATCTATCCAACGACTGTGAAGATTCTAAACTAACACGTTTTAGGGTATTACACAGAAATGTACTTTATGGGTATTACACAGAAACACACCATAATAGCATGAACCAAATATGTACTTTATTCATTTACATTAAATGTCATAAGATACATCGTTTTGATTGGAGCTAAGGGCATACACTATCTAACAAAATGATGCTAGATCCAAAATATATGGTACTAATCTAGAATTCTCTATAAATTTTTTATTCATGGGAGATGTTCCAGATGCACGCTGAAAACCTTTATTAGAAATAATTTCTATTGAAAATGAGGAGAATGAAAATATTATGGTATCAGATTTGATTAACTTTGATGTGAGTGTTGGCATGAACCTAGAATTCGAGCAATTGTTCCCAATGATTTATGGGAAAAAATCAAATCCATTTTTATCTCTCCTAGACAATTTGAAGATAGAATTATTTGGGAGGGGAACTCTTTAGGAGATTTTTCTATTAAATCAGCCCATTTGCTGAAATGTTCATCAATCATTGGGGCAAATAACTTTACAAGTTGGCTTGAAATCATTTGGAACATTAAGTGCCCTCCAAAGATCAAAACTTTTCTTTTCCTTCTCTTTAAAAATAAACTTCCTTCTAAGATGCTTTTGAGGAAAAGGGGTTTTGATATTGACGGATCTTGTAGCTTCTGCGAAGAGGAAGAGGACTTAGATCATATTTTCAAGTATTGTCCTTTCTCCTACCAAATTTGGTCCATCCTTTGTGACCCGTTAGTGGGTCCGTTGGATAGTGACCAAATCCTTCTTGACTGGTGGATCATATTGTCAAAAAAAAATGCTCCTTGTTAAAGAAAAAATAGCTTTCATTTTGTGGGCTATTTGAAAAAATCGAAATAAAAAAATTTTATTAACATTGGGAGCCCCCCTCAAGTAATTCTAGGTCGAGCCTTTCATTTGTTTCTGGAATTAGAAAAAGGTGCAGACATAGGATTCACAAGATTTGGAAGCCCATTGTATGGTCTGCTCCTTCTCAAGATAGCATTAAAATCAATTTTGATGCTTCTAAAGCGTGGGCTACTGAAGAGACCATTAAGATAGCCTTAAAATTCTATCGAATGATGATTTCGTGCATCAATTAAAACACGAAACCTCCTTTAGAAGATGAGGAACACTAGAGCTGCATTAGGATGAAAAAACATTTACTAGAAGTTTCCGCATGTCTAAAAAAAGTGAAACAGGCCGCATATTGGATTGCTCGTGAAGCCCAAATTGCTACTTCCGAGTTTGTATCATTTAACTTATCTTCCCTTCCTCCTCTTTTTTCTATTTCTTTATATAACTGCTGGGGCGCACGATCTCCCGTTTGTTGGAGCGCTCTCAAGTTTTAACGTTCTGTGATGTCGGTATGAGGCGCGCTGTGTGAGGAGCGGATTCCATTTCGTCGGGCGAAGCTTTTCCCCGTTAGCTGCAGCCTGCAGGGAACAATAAAACCGGCCGAGCCGAAGCCCGAAGGATATCGTCTCTGTCCGTGCAATAATGGAAGTTGTCGCAGGAAAGCCGTTGCGAGTACAAAGTCTTGCACAAGCTGGCCTAGCAAACGTGCCATCTCAATTCATACAACCACCCGAAACTCGACCTGGGTCATGGGGTGAAACGCCAGATTCGAGAATCCCCGTGATCGATCTCTTCCTATTCGACCCCCAACACTCCGACGACGTGCGTCGGAATCTCCGGCAATATTGCAGTGAATGGGGAGCTTTTCAGGTAAGAAATCATGGGGTCCCACAGCGATTGCTCGACGACATGAGGAGAACGGGTCTTTCCTTCTTCAACGATTGCCCCATGTCTGAGAGGTCCAAGTACTTTTGCGATCCAAACTCTGCAGCTTCAGAAGGTTATGGAAGCCGAATGCTCGTGAAAGATGACAGCGTTTTGGACTGGAGGGATTACTTCGATCACCACTCTTTGCCGCTTTCTCGTAGGAATCCCACTCGCTGGCCGGACTTTCCTCCCAATTATAGGTTAGCAGTTTAGCACTATTTGGGCTTCTCTTGTTTTGCGTAAAAAGACAAGTTATATAACAAGATCCTGCAAATTTTAGCGCCTGCAATCAATTCAGAATAGTAAAGGGAAACTTGTTAAGTTTGAATAATTGAATCCTCAGTATTAGGGTAGGGGCTTCATTCGACAGTCTCCGTTTTGATGTCTTAATTTCGATTTTGTTTACTTTAAACAGAGAAGTTGTAACTGAGTACAGTGATCAAATGAACTCACTTGCTCAGAAGTTGTTGGGATTGATGTCGAAAAGCCTTGGCCTATCATCATCGTGCATCGAGAAGGCAATTGAGGAAGTATACCAGAATATCACCATCAGCTATTACCCGCCTTGCCCACAGCCAGAGCTTACTCTTGGTTTGCAGGCGCATTCTGACATAGGTGCTATTACTCTTCTGATACAAGACGACGTTGGGGGTCTTCAGGTATTAAAGGATGGCAAATGGATAAACGTACAACCTTTATCTGATGCGATTGTCGTCATTTTGGCCGACCAAACTGAGGTAATGCCGACTATTTACTTCATTGGATGCTTTGATTTCCACGACTCATAATTGCGGCCTTAGGGGGTTCGTCAGTCACTGCTGCTATCTTTGTCAAGTTTACTTCGTGTGATTGTATTCTTATCGATAGTGTGGACTGAGTAATTCCATGACTCTGGACCTTGATTCACCTTCGTTCTTCAATCTTAGCATATAGTTGTTGTGTACTTGTGTTGTCTCTGGCACCATAACATTTGATTGATCCACTGACAAGAGACAACATTGGTCAAATTTAGAGTTCTAGAAAGCCTTATATTCGACAGACCAGGAGAGCAGAAAGAAAAAATCAAAGATTTCCTTACTAGAAAGTAGGAAGTGGATCTCTTCAAAATTAAACGAAGCAATTCTTGCTTAGTGTTTTAGCTGAATCAGGCCTGTTAGGATTAAACTCTGAATTACCGATTAATTAGTATGGCAAACAAGAAAAAATAATTGAGGAAAATGTGAATTATAAAGCAAATAATAAGAGCAAAAGAAAGGTAAAGATGGCACCAGATTTACGTGGTTCGGTCAAAGAGACCTACATCCACGGGAGAAGAAAGAAAACATGTTTATTCATGTCCTTGATGAGAGAACTACAAACTGACCACCTTACT